TTAATGATTATAATTATTAGTTATTTTTATGAATTGAATTAAATAAAATTAATATTCTTAAAGATAATATTTTATAATTTTTAGTGACCTTAATATTATAAATAGTGATTATAAACACACTCTAAATAATTAGGACATTTTATCAATTTAAACTAAATTAATCAAATATAACTGTTTGGTATAACAGGATTTGCACCCTTAAATTTCTCTAAATTAAGATTTTTAATATTTATAAGTATTTTTTTCTTCTGATACTGGTTGCACAATATAAAGTATATTTTCTCTCAACCCTTATCACATCTCGCACGGATGTCATGCGACTCGAATTTAAGATTTTTTATTTTTAACAAAAAAAAAATTATCATTGAATTACTTAGGTCGTTGGCTAATATTTATAAGTAGATGACAAGTCTTATTGATATTATTGATATTTATATGATTATAAAATAATTAATTTTGCCCCCTGAAATATAGCTGAAAATGTAGGTGAACGTTTCCTATACGTATTGGTTTGTTGAAGGAAAATTTTTAAATATGAATTGGAATATACCAATCGATTCTGTTTTTGTTTTTACATACAGCCATGACAAAAAAAAGGCTTTAGAGAGTTGAGAATGGGCAAGATATTTTTGGAATAGACAGGTGTAGGCTATTTTTTCTAAAATAGTTACGGTAAAATTTAAATATAACTTTTTTATACTAAAAAATAAAATTATAATAGACTTTTTAAGTGTTGACTAGGATTACGTATATACTATAATCTTGAATTCTTAATTGGAATTTTCTAGCCTATGCTCTTATCTCACATGTTAAATGGTAAATTTTATCTAATGTAGTATTTATAATTAGTTTTATATGAAATTTTATATTAGATTCAAATTAAAATAAAAAATAAAATGTAAAATTAAAATATAATATAATATTTATATTTAAAATATACAAAAAGATATGAATTTGATATAAAATTTTGTATAAAATTAATTATAAATATTATAATTAATAATATTTAACTTATACTTTTAAAATACAAGTCAAATAAATTCTATCAAATTTAATGCATGACTTTCTTCGCGTAACGTAACATCAAAAGTACCCATTAACATGCTTGACAAGACATTTTTGATATAGTTAGGGTAATTACCATCAATAAATGATAACTAATCAATGAGTCACTCTCCATACATTCCTTCATTGGTAGGCAGCTTTGAAAATTTCTGTCTTCAAACTCAATTTCTCGTTTGTATGCATTTTCAACTTTAAAAATGGAAAAATTGATCTAATTAAAGACAAACCATAAAATTAAAAAAAAAAAAAATTGACCTAATTAAAGACAAATTATTTGTTTTAATGCTTCATTCAAATTATAATACGTGGGTTTTGAGTTTTGACTTGTTCTGGTCAAAACAAAGCCGCTTACAAAATGTGTAGTATCATTTTCAACCCAAACTTTGTCCTTTTCAATTTGAGTAGGCAATTTTGATTTTCAAATCCAAGAAAAATGGGCATTTCTGGTTGGGTGGGATTTGGAAGGAAAGTAGCTTGTCCCACAAGAACAGTATAATTGCGTCACAAATTTGTACCCACTTTCTTCCATTTTCTCGGCAACCAAACAGGCAAAAACACACGTATGAATTGGCAATAAAGATAGCAGAAAGGTATGATTTCTTCTAGTAATCAAGTAATTCATTTCTGTGTTCAAATTTACAAATCTCACACCATAATCACAATGAGATTATTAGTCTTTGAAGATCTACAAAGGATTTAGGAAAACTATCAAAGAACAGATTCAAATTTCTGGATTGAAGAAAAATAATCAATCAAAGTAGTAATTGCAAACGAAATTGAGAAAAAGAATGAAAAAACTGCCAGATTGGAAAATTTCCAAGTTTCTTAATTTACTGCTGCTAAGCTTCATTTCTGATTGGTAGCCACACCAAACTGAGCTGTTAGACGTGGATAAGCTTTGGGGCGGGGCAAGGCATCACCGGCAAAGTGTTTCTCCTTCAAGTGACAGATTGGTCCGCTAGTGCCAGGAATGTTGGTGCACCCAGATGGCCCTGAAGGAGGGGTGGGTTCCCTATCAAGGGACTGCAACACCAAGTCCATTTTCACCGCCTTAGTTTCTTCATGCAAGAGCCTGCTAGCACTGAATGGCTGGAGATGTACAACAGAAAGAAAAAGAACAATCAAAGCAAGATTGAGAAACCTCATCGTTTCTAGGAAAGAGAGGAAAGGAACTTATGAATTTCATGAAGAAATGAGGAATATTTATAGGCCTAACTTTAGAAAATTTTTAATTGAAATTTCTTCTGTAGAAAGATTTTGACTGTTGACTACTGTAGACATTGCAGACAACTGAATTGGTCAGAAGGAGACATGTTTTTTCTCAGTTTGAATCCCTAGTTTTCTCCTTTCCAACATGCTTTTCTGTATGCTATATCCATGACTAAATTGATTAATCAGAGGATTAAGGAACTAAAAGATCTTGGAGGCTACGCTACTGTCCACAGACAGGAAATTTCATGGGACTGCATCTACAGACCTAACCCCAGACCAAAGGTTGTTTTGGTTAACAATGACATAAAGAATAGTCCAGCATTGACATAAAGCATGCTTCCAGCTTCATTAACATTTTGAACTATAATCAAGCAATGGCTTCTGTAGTATCATATTAAAAGCAATACAAAAAGGATTTTCTGCAATTGCTCGTTATTTGTAATTCAGTGGACTGTTAAAAGTGGTATTGTCCCAAAGGTTAAGTTTGGGGTTTCTTGTAGTCTTACATGCAAATTAGGATTCTCCATCTATTCCCGGTTGATTTTAGATGTAACATGAAGAATCAAAACTGACACAAATATTATTATTAGCCTAAGCTCAACAATTGGAACATGGCAAGTTACAAAATCCAAAAGGCCGGACAACAGGGGAATTAAATCCCATAAGGGGAAAACATCATTTAAGGCTTTTAGGGAAGTGGGTTGTGGTGGAAAAATTGAAATACTAGGAGCCAGACTCAGTCGGTTGAACCCAAACAAATCTATCTACAAAGTCAGACATTTCCTAATAGGCACATACAAAATAACAATAAGCTGGATAGACAAGAAACCACCTTGGGCAGCAGAATGGGCAGGAGCAGGGGCAGCACCACCAACAGCACAAGCAAGAGCAGCAACAGAAACTAGTGTATCACCTTCATTTGTCAAACAAAAAGTAACCATGATACCTTCAAATTGGGTGAAAACGGATTTAATAAAACACAATAGTATACTCTTCATGGTTATGCTTACCAGAACCAACATTCAAAATTAGATCTTCAGTGCTTCTCTTCTCACAGAGCATAAGAGTCAATCTTATACAATTTGCAGCTATCTATCAAATTTGCAATCTTCTCAAGATGAGATAACAACTAACATGCCAAATTAGCCCTAAATCAATTGGCTTCTAAATCAATTGGCTTCTGTGCCCCCCAATGTACAAGTCTCAGGGTGTATCGTACCAAACAGGTAGAAAAATGCTTTGACAAGAGACAACATATGCTGCATTACCCACTTATTCATCTAGCACCCGCCTGAAAAATTACCTAACGATTCCATGCATGTTTAAGAAAAAGAAAATGGCAAACCTTATAGAATACAAACTACGAGACAGCATTTAAGTTGCCTAGCAAACTTCCGGAATTCCTTTACAGAGATTCAAAAAATTGATTTTGTCAATGTAAGCCCATGTACGTATTAGGGCATGCTACATTCTACCAAACATAATCAAATATGAAGTCAAAATCTTTGGGTTCTTCAATTAATAGAAACAATGTAAAACTGACATACACCCGCATGCCGTGGCAAAAACCACCAACATAGACTATTTACATTGCTATTCAGGTGGTTTCTAGAGTTTGATAAACAACTTTAAATTTATACAGCAAATACTTAGAAATACAGAGTAATGCAGAACCAACACAGATGTCAGACCAACTGATAGTGAATCAAGCTCTCCGTTTACTCAGACGCCAAGAATTAGGTTCATGATATCTATCATAAAGAGGTTCAATACGTTATTGACGTTTGCGCTTGCTCATTTTCATGGGATCTGCTACTTTGAAGAATCTTGGAGCCAGTTCAACAAGCCACTTTGGGTCAATCACAGTTACCTCACGCATATACTACTTTGAAGTCATCACTAGCTCATGGTAAATCACCCAGTCTGGTTGTCTCTGGAAAAGGGCACTACTAGGGTGGATATAAACAGGCTGGTTCTCAACCAGAGTCCTATATCCCTCTTGAGGGTCCTTTCTTGCAGCATGGAAAAAGAAACCTGCAGCAATAGCCTTCCTTATTTTTGTAAAGTTCTTTCCTGCACTGACGATGTCAAATTTGTACCTTTCCATGATGCCAATGAGTTGTTTTCTGACATTGTGTGCCTTGCTCAGGGATTGAGAGTGAACAAAATTTTCATAACACCAACGACACTCAAAATTTCTGGCTTTCCAAGCCTCATAGACTGCAAGCAGAGTCAAGTGGTCTCCCTCAGGCTGGAAAAAGTTGGCCCTCTTCTGATCAGCTTGAGCTTGTTTTTCCCTTGGCCTGTAAAAGATGTTTCCGGTTTGAATCATAGCAATAATTGTCAAAATCTCATCACTACATCCAAGGTCTATGCTAGCCAGTAACATCTTTGACAGGGGTGGATCCAAAGGAAACTCTGCCATTTTCCCACCCAATCTGGTCAGAAGCCCCTCCTCATCAAGAGCTCCTAGACTGTACAGCTGTTCCATGGCAGAAATGAGAGCTTGGGGAGAAGGTGGATCCATAAAATCAAACGAGAGGAGATCATTGATTCCCATGGCCTTCATTGTAAGTGTTGTTGTCCCGAGATTAATCCTTTGGATTTCTGGAGTTGTGGTTTGCGCCATCTCGTTCCTAAATGCAGCTTCGGTATACAGGCGGTAACATTTCCCTGGCCCTGTACGCCCCGCACGCCCCGCTCGTTGCTTGGCCGATGCTTGTGAAATTGGAGTTATAACCAGAGAATCAAGCCCTTGCTTCGGGTTATAAACATTTTGTTTTGCGAATCCCGGATCAACCACATAGAATACTCCATCAATTGTCAAAGAAGCCTCGGCAATATTGGTTGCAACCACCACTTTCCTCTTCCCTGGAGGAGCAGGTTCAAAAATCCTAGACTGCATTTCACTAGGGAGGGCACTATAAACTGGTAAAATAATTAAATCAGGAACATTCTCACCTAGCCTGCCCATATAATCCTTAAGAAACTGGCATGCATAATCTATTTCCTCCTGACCAGTCAAGAATAGAAGAATGTCACCCTCAGGTTCATTCAAGTGTATCTGGAGGACTGTTAACAAAGCAGTGTCCAAGTAATCACTTTCCGGTTCTTTAGTGTAGAATATCTCCACAGGAAAGGTTCTCCCTGGGATTGTAAAAATATTACAGCTGAAGAAGTAGCCTGAAAATTTCTCTGCATCCAACGTGGCAGACGTAACAATCAGACGAAGATCAGGTCTCCTTTTCACAAGCTGCTTCAATAACCCAAAGAGGACATCAGTGTTGATTGTCCGTTCATGTGCTTCGTCCAGCATAATGACTGAATATTGAGAAAGGTTCTCATCAATAAGAATCTCCCTAAGAAGCATACCGTCAGTCATATACTTGATCATAGTATCTGGTCCAGTACAATCTTCAAATCGAATAGCATACCCAACTTCCTCTCCTAAACGACAACCATACTCCTCAGCTACCCTTTTGGCCACAGACACTGCAGCGACTCTCCTGGGTTGAGTACATCCAATCTTTCCCTTTGTAGTGTATCCTGCCTCTGCAAGATATATACTGTGTCACCTGAGTGGTCTTACCTGAGCCAGTCTCACCAATAACAACCAGAACTTGATTGTCATGGACCGCCTGAACCAGTTCCTTTTTCAGTTTGTAAATTGGCAAGCTCTGCCTCTGCTCCTGGATTGGGAGCTTTGACCTCTGCCCAAAAGTCAGAGCTTTTCCAAAAGCATCCTTCTTCCATGCAGGCATATCGTAGGCAGACAATCCAACACCTCTAAGCTCTTCTGCAAGATGCCTCTCACCTACCTCAGGCATTGGATCTTCCCAAGGACGATTAAGATCCTTTGGAATTGAGTCCAGCATAGTTCGCTGCTTCTGTTCCCGTACTTCTGTCCGTTCCTTTATAAGGGTAGACTGAAGAGCAGCTGCACGACTCAAGGACCCTTCTGGATTTTTGAATATCCTCACTGGTGACATATCTACAGAGGACCTTGTCTGTCCTCTCAAAAATGCGGGTTCATCTTCATTCAGCTCAATTTCAACCTCTTCCTCAGCACCCTCTTCTTGATAAAGCACTCCGTCTCCTTCCTCATCATAAGTGGGATACTCACCCACTCTCAAAACACCAGATGCAATCAACTGCTTTGCCTCCCACCTCTCTGGCGAACTCATTCTCTTCAATGGCCTACGTGATGGAATGTAATTCTCCACTTCCATGATCTGAATACCCGAGAGACCAGTCCTAGTTACAGGCCCCCCCTTTCCCCTTGAAGGATTGATCCTAAAAGCATTATCATCTGAACTCTTTTTCAGAGGAAGCAAGTCCTTACTCGTATACTGATCAACATCCCTCATTGACAGACTCATTATCCGGACAGAAACAGAAAGAACCTTCACATAAACCCTCTGATCCCGCTTCACCAAATCTTTTGCATTCGCAATTCTCCTGTTGCTAATCTGTGAAACATGAACCAGCCCTTCCTTACCCCTAAAATCATTCAACAACACAAAACAACCCCCGTCCATCACTCTCGAAACCCTGCCCTGGTACACTTTAAACAATTCAGGTTCCCTATCATTATCCCTGCCCCTACTCCTATAATCCCTCCTCTCAGCATCAGCTTCCTCCTCATGACTCCTCTTCGCCTTCTTTCCCTCCAGCGTCCGTTTTTCTTTTCCGGAGCCGTTACCTGCTTTGTTCTTCGGCGCGAGAATCGCGCGGACAGTAGTATGCAAGGTGCGGACAAGGTAATCAGGCATCTCGGCACCGCGTTCTTTCAACTCGGCGTGAAATTCATCAACCGTCTCACACCGCCTGCCCAAATCGGTAATGAACTCCGCTACCACCCTGTCTGCAAAACCTAGGTGAGTCTCGAGGTCATTGCAGACCTTGGAGATGAGAGAGAGATACTCGAGTTCCTTGAAACCATCGTTTTCAGTGGGTGCAATCGTCTCCATGGTTGAGAGCGTAACAATGGATAAAGATTGCAGGAAAATTTAAGTAGAAGTATGATTCGCAACTGAGCAGACTTTATAAGGAATTAGAGTTCTTCCCGTACCCGATGTGAAGTGATTTCATCTTCTTCTCCAGGATGGAGTAGGGCATGGATTCTATTTTGGAATAGATGGATTTCCTTCTAGGAGTGGGACGGTAACAGCCATAATGGGTCGGTTACCCGCTTACATCCGTAACTAACAAGATTTTTTTTTTTTTAATCTTAAATTGTACAATGAAAGTTGTTCTTTTTTTTTTCATTGAAATTGAACAATGAGAGTTAATTTCTATTATCACAATCGCATGTTATATGATTTTCATTTAAAAATTTTTTAATTTTTTATTTAATAAAAAAATTAATATTAAATTATTTAAATTGGTTTGTTACTAAACCCTAAGCAAACTTGCTCAATAACATAAAATCTGAAATTTTTTGCTCGTCTGGCTTCAAAATCTACAACGGAATACCTTATCCATCCACAAGCACCAAACAAGGCTTGGCAATGGCAATGTCAAAGTCGTATATAAATTCAAGAATATTTTATTTTTCAGCCTGAACTATAAAAAAGAAACTACACCTATCCCAAAATCATTACCAGTTTTTTAATTTTTTCTTCAAATTAAGAATTTAAAGACAATTTATGTATTTATTTATATTATTTTTAGAAAAATTAAAAAATTAAAAAATAAAATAAAATTTTTGTGATAAGATAATTAATAAAAAATAAAAAAATAATAAAGTAAAAGTAAAAAAATATTTATCTACTCTAAAAAAATAAAAAGAGAATTAAATTAAGATAAATTCAAAGTTAAATAACGATGATTAATAAATATTAAATTAAAAATAATCCTAATATCAAAAGATGTGTTTTTATCCAATAATTTTAATAGTAAGTAGAGTAAAGTACAAACTCCACAACATTCTTTTTTTAAATTTAATTCTTATTTATGGTACTCATT